AGCTGCTAGCTCAACGACATCTGTCCCAAAACCAGGAAATACTATGAGATCTACTACCACCGGAGATACCGTGACATAAGGGAGAGTTTTTGCGCTTGTTCTGGGCGATACACGGAATACTGCAGCCGTTGTCTCAGGTACTATCTCTGTATGTAATCAGGATGCTTTTGTACTAATTGCGTCTGGATCAACACACTCCTTTGTAACTTGTGCATTTGCATCTAGATTGAGTAGGCCTCTAGAACCATTGCCATATTTGCCATGTGTATGTGCTCCATCCGGGGAATCTGTATTGTGTGAATCTGTATATCGTTTTTGTGACATTCGTTTTGGGAATGCTATTCTATATGTAGATTTGTTGCCCTTGAACTTTAGACACTTCGATGTAATTTTGGGCATGGATTGGTTAACTAAATATGGTGCCACCATTGATTGTGTAACAAAACGGGTTGTGTTTAGACCACCGAAATATGAAGAAATTGGGTTTGTGGGTAACGAGGTAGTGCCTCCACCTTATTTAATATCTGCAATGAAAGCATGTAAATTGATCATAAAGGGTGCCAAGGTTACTTGTGTTATGCGCTATCTGAACAATCTGTGAATGTTGAATTGAGTAGTATCCCTATTGTTAGCGAATTTCCAGATGTGTTCCCAGATGAATTGCCAGGGGAATTGGTAGATAGGGAAATAGAGTTTACTATTGAAATTGTGCCAGGCACTCAGCCTATTTCTAAGACTCCCTACAGAATGGCTACCGCCGAAATGAAAGAACTGAAGGAACAGTTGCAAGATTTGCTTGATAAATGGTTTATTCGACCTAGTACTTCACCGTGGGGTGCACCGGTGTTATTTGTGAAAAAAAAAAGATGGAACCTTGCGCTTGTGTATTGACTATCGAGAACTGAACAAGGTAACAATAAAGAATAAATACCCCTTACCTCGTATTGATAACCTGTTTGATCAGTTGCAGGGATCACAAGTGTTTTCCAAAATTGATTTGAGATCTGGGTATCACCAGTTGAAAGTGAAAGCAGAAGATGTTGAGAAAACTGTGTTTCGAACAAGGTATGGCCATTATGAATTTCTTGTTATGCCATTTGCGGTGACTAATGCTCCTACAGCATTTATGGACCTAATGAACCAAATTTTTAAGACCTACCTTGATGAATTCATTGTGGTTTTTATCGATGATATCTTGATACACTCAAAGAATAGATTTGAACATGAACAACATCTGAGGACTGTTTTACAAACACTTAGAAAAAGAAATTATTTGCCAAACTAAAGAAATGTGAATTTTGGTTGGATGAAGTTATCTTTTAAGGGCATGTTATCAACAAAGATGGGATTTTAGTGGACCCACAGAAGATAGAGGCAATTGTGAATTGGCCTACACTGACAAATGTAACAGAGGTCAGTAGTTTCATGGGCTTAACTGGGTACTACATGAGGTTTGTGAAAGACTTTTCAAAAATAGCTGTACCTCTTACCCAACTGACACGCAAAGGGCAACCGTTTGAATGGAATGATGAAAGGGAGTCTGCCTTTCATGAACTGAAAACAAGATTGACCACTGCACCGGTATTGACGTTGCCCACAGGTATGGAAAACTTTGTAATCTTCAGTGATGCATCCTATAAAGGTTTGGGTTGTGTATTAATGCAGAATGGAAGGGTGATTGCCTACGCCTCTCGGCAGTTGAGGCCACATGAGGAAAACTACCCAACACATGATTTAGAACTGGTCGTAGTCGTATTTGCTTTGAAAATCTGGCGGCATTACTTGTATGGGGCAAAATGCGAAGTTTACACAAATCACAAAAGCCTAAAGTACTTCTTCACTTAAAAAGAGTTGAATATGCGGCAAAGGACATGGTTTGAATTGATAAAAGATTATGACCTTCAAATCCAGTATCACCCTGGGAAAGCTAATACAGTTGCTGATGCCTTGATCAAAAAATCGATGGGGAATTTGGCTTGCTTACATACCGAACAGAAAGAGATTTTGCAAGATTTTGAGAAGTCCGGGATTGAAGTGATATTGTGTGAACAAGGCAGATTGATAGCCGCCACTTCAGCCGAACCAACGATCATTGAGAAGATTAAACAGATTCATATAAACATGTTTTGATAAAACAATTCAGTTTTATTATAGTTTTATCCTAATGACTCTTGGAATTAAAATTAGTTTAATTGCCTAGAGCTATTGGATTGTTTTGAGTTGTTCATTTCTACACTACAAAAAAATTGGGTTTTTACGGCACCAAATACACGCCATGGATATGATTCTACGATGCGCGATGTAAAGCCAAGTTATGACCAGCCATGGAAAGTCATTCATTTCAATGACATGTTGTAATACGCTGTTAAAAACCCTTTAATAGTAGATCTTGTGAGTCGTGTTTGATTTTTCTACAACAAGTTTTGCATGTCATTAAAAATACTTTAATAGCAGATCTTGCGTGTCATGGAAATATTTTTCTACAACCACGTTTGCAAGCCATTAATTCCTAGGACAAATCACAACTTGCTCGTCATATGGGTAACAACAACCTATTATGCCTACCGTAGAATATGCAATATATATATATTTAATTCTGCATGTTCTATTTGACCTATTCTATATAGTCTAACAAACATTACAAAAAAGCTTCACAAAACATCAATCAACCACCAAAATATTGTTTCAAGCATCAAAAAGAAACTATATCCATAAGTTATGAACATTCAACAATTGTCTATACATTCCAAACATCCAAAAACTATCCTTAAGCTCAAAATCATCCAAAAAGAACTATCCTTAAGTTCTAAATTGTCCAAAAAGTTCTAAACTATCCAAAAATTATATCATATATAGGTTTCTAAACAAAATCCAAAACTATCCAAAGATTATAGAAATCCATTCATCAAAGTCATATAAAAAACTATCTATAGATGTTAGGATTTCTACTCAAACTCAAAGCGGATGAAATGGGTTAGCCAAGCAATAGTGTTTCCAACAGCATCATCAAGTACAAACATCTCCCGATTAGGGTGAAACAATGGTATATTGATTTTGACATGGTTAACCCATACTTTCCAACACCCAAGGCCAAGAGGCACATGATGATATACTAATTGTTTAGAATCCGTTGATGTAATTGTGCCTTCCACAATCACCACCTTTGTCCCATCCTAATTCAACAATTTGAATTTGGCATGAATTGGGGAATTTGGTTAAATTCATGAAATTGGGGAATTTATTGATTAAATGTTGTGGTTGGATAATATAAATCACTCGCCTGTTGAATTGATGATATATTTATTTCCAAGTCTAGAAATAATTGTTTTGGGCTATCGGTGGAGGATAGTCATGATTGTTGTAGACAATGCATGTGGATTAGGTATAACTGAAACTAATCACATTGGTTGAGTCATTAATTTTGACTGTTGAATTAATACAGACATTATGTGTATTGACTGTGTGGTGTATATGTTATGTGTTTACATACTTTGTTCTGTGTGGGAGGAGATAGGGGATGTACTCCACGGTTTAGGGGAAGATAGGGGATGGACCTCTAAACCGGATTTTGTTTGGGAGGAGATAGGGGATGGACTCCATTAGCATCACTTTTCTGTGTGCTTATTTATATTGAAGTGTTTTATTGATACAGCACTAAAATGTGTATCAAATTGGAAGTATGAAGTGTTTTGATTTGAGCCTGAGTCTCATCTGTTTGTTGACATCGGAAGAATGTGAATATGATATATATATAGTTCACTGTTGTAAGTTTGGCCAGGTTCTGAGCCATATTGATAATGTTGGAAAGTAAAACGTGTCTTAGACATTAATGTCATGAAACTGAATAAAGATATAATTGACTATCTTGGTTAACCAATTATTGAATGCTATTGCTTTATTCAATGCTTATATTTGGTTTAGTATATTTCTACTGGGCTGTGGCTCACCCTTTATGGGAACATCATTTTCAGGTTCAGGTGATAAGCTACCTCCAAGGACTTAGCTTGGGAGGGTTTGACTTCTGGATTTGAAGAAGACTATCTTTAGTTAATTGTCTTTATTTATTAGTACATGTAAACATTCAAGCCTAGGGCTTTTCTTGTATTGAGTTAGAACTCATATTTCTGTATCCAAGTGTTGGCTTGGAAAGATGTAAGCCTGTAGGGCATTTTATTCGATGTTACATGTAATGCTTTTATTTAGTAATACTCTGATGAATAAATTAATAAATTGTTTTCTTTAAATAATGCATGTCAATGATATATATAATGGGTTATTTTGTGGGCGTGACAACTTGGTATCAGAGCGTACCGGGTTTGAATACTTTGGGTACGTGGGAAGTGATTAGTATCACATTCTTTACTTGGGTGATAAAAAATAAATAAATTAGACCATGTAATGCCAAAGGGATGGCAATGAGGGGAAGTAATGAAGGCGGCGGTGGTGGAGGTGGCAATGATGGGTTGACTAGGGATTTCTTACGTCTTAGAACAATCTCTCATAGGGGGTTTCCAAACATGGCTGGGCTTGATCATATGATAGTAGTTATGACTAATATGGTATTGGTTATGATATAAAATCATATAAGTTCATAACTAAATGTATGGTACATCTAAATGTACCATAGCATCACCCGTGAGGTGATGAGAAACCTCCATTTAATGATTGTTATCGATAAAAAATTGCAACGTCTAGTGAAATTGAAAGTTTAACCCCTGAAAAAATAGTAATCACTATTATCCACCTGTAATTCATTAATTACAGAGTCTAGAAAGAGGAGCGCGTAAACCGATAAGATTCTCTGTGCTGGAAATTCTCTTTCTCGCATCGCAGCAGCTTTTTTTTGGTTTTCACTTTTTGGTGCCTCTGTTTTTTACTGGATTTGGGGCCAATTCTTGTCGGCTGGCTCTTCTCTTCTCTTTTGGTTAATAAAAAGAATAAAACCAAACCAAACACACCACACAATTCATATATATATATATATATACTGACACATAACAGAGGTGCATAATGGCCAATGGGAGATTAGGACAATGGTTGCAAATGCTAGTTTGTGTACTAATATTGCTCAAAACAGAAGGCTTCTATGTTGGCATAACTTATGTTCAGAATGCTGTTGCAAAAGGAGCAGGTTAAAATCTTCTTCATAATAAGCCAATTTAAATTTTTTTTACAATCTTGACTATAATGTGTTTGGGATTCTGATATTGTGCAGTTTGTTTGGATGGGTCTCCCCCGGCTTACCATCTTGATAAGGGGTTTGGAGCAGGAATTAACAATTGGTTGGTTCATTTTGAGGTTGGTCCTTCATTTACCATTTTGTTTTACAATACAAAAAATGATTTGTTTGTTGTTAAGAAGATGATTGAAAAGAAAAATAAGAATTGTGAAATCATATAAGATACCCAATTTTCTGCAGTTTTATTGGAAATTGAATTGAGAACTGATTTTGATTTTTTTGAAATGCCAATTTTCTAGTGTATTTAGGACATGAAAATGTAGTCTGATAAGGGGAGGGGAAAATGTAATCTCTATTACACCCTTTGTTACTTGTCACTAAGTAGATTGATGGTGGAAGGAAATGAAGTTTGTACAAAGTGCTTACAATCCCTCCAGATATACATCTTTTATCTATCTATTTGGGATGATACAGTAGGAGCTTGAAATGTAGATTTAATGAATTTGGATCCATACCTGTTATATTAGCAACCTATATATATGTTTGCATATAAAATTTACTAAAATTAAAAACCGAAGAAAAAAATGGGAGCCAAACAGGGGTAGTTAATATCAATATGCTTCAAGAATTATATAGAAGCTTAGCTTCAAGGATTATATACTGTCTTATACCAGTATAGAGAACTAATTATAGAAGTATAGTAGTCTGTTGAATATTTTCTAAACTAACCGAGCAGGATGTCGAGCAGCCGAAGTGATGTTGCAGCCGGAGTGAACAATGGTAAGAGTGGTCAGAGTGATCCACGGGAGCTCTGATGAAGGCAAAAGCTGAGAGAGGAAAAAAACATTCAAGAATGAAAAATCTAGAAATCCCCTAGATGTTGATTTGTGATTATGTATCAATTTTAAGCAGAATATAACAATCCCAATCAAACAATCAAGACAAAGAGACACAATGATTTAACGTGGAAAAAAACCACAATTGGACACCTCCAACTATGATAAAAAAACCACGGGCAACAGCCACAAACAATCCACTAAGAAGATTTAAAGGAATTACACAGGTATACTCTCAATTACCTAGCGAATCCACGCCTAATTGAACCAACCTCTATGTGCCTCTTCCAACCCGTCTTCACCTCGGAATTGTCTTTATGATGAGCCACCCCGAAATCCACCAAAGCTTTAGGCTCGAATTCTTCAGAATCTACCGAAGAATAACTCTCTCTTTTGTATAGCAAACAAAACCTTTGATGTACTCTCTTTAAACCATGAGTTGAATACTCAATAAAACATCAAAGAAAACTCACAAAGTATCCCCAGATATAAACCCTAGAACCCAAAAAGAAGATCTAGAGTAGTTATCCTAAAATCTGACCCAACACGCGAATTTATAGAATCTGTCCCGCGATCTCCGCTCGAGCGCCCAGCAGCTCGCTCGAGCGGCTTCAGCAAAATATGCGCGTGATATAACAGAGGTCCGCTCGAGCGCAAAATCACACATCTCAGTACTTTTACAGGCGACCAAAACTGCTAGAACCAGGGATTCTCCGCTCGAGCACGGGTATGTCCGCTCTAGCGGACAGCTCGATCCCCGTCATAATCAGCGAAGTGGCAATCTTGAAAGCATTAGCATCACAAACTTCTCTGAAAAGCACAATTTGGGTTGGATTCGCATCTAAACACTCAAGGCCTCACTGAAATAAAAGTGCGAAAAAAAAATACAACTGAAAGGAGTTTTGTCAAACGGGATTTCCAAGAATAAAACCTAACAAAGAAGAAGTTAATAATACTTTTCCATATATCTATAGATTGGTCTGTGCAGAAGTTAAAAAATTCAAGAAGAAGTTTAGCTTATTTTATGTTTGAATTCAAGTAAAAGAAAAGAAAAGAAAAGAAACAAAGTGCATGTACTTAGAAGCTCAGCTCAGTTTCTGCATTGAAACAATAGGTCATTTTCCTATCTCAGAAATTGTGGTAAGAGAGTTGCTCGGATTATAAAGGAAGGGTTGAGATTGAATTGCCGTATTGTGAGTCCTTGCATAGAATGAATATAGACAACATTTTGATATTTATAAATATAATAAACATGTAGTATTACTAAATACTAAAAGGCTTATCTTAGGACGAACTGGAAAATTGAAACATTTAAAGTTTGACTTCTTTTGGCGTTCTATCCGTCTTAATTGATATGTGTAATTTGTAGGTAATTACCGGTACATAAGATTTACTACTTGGTAAGGTTCCAAAAAATAAAAAAATTAAAATCCCATTTCCTCTATCTCTTGACACCTTGCTTAAATCCAAAGACTATCACATTCATTACACACAAATCTCAAAAAATGAGATAAAGCAATCACACTCTCTCTCTCTCTCTCTCTCTCTCTCTCTCTCTCTCTCTCTCTCATATTCTTGAAATGTCAATTGGCATGGGAGTTGTGTATCTCTATCCGTCTTAATTAATACGTGTAATTTGTAGGTAATTACCGGTATATAAGATTTACTACTTGGTAAGGTTCCAAAAAATAAAAAAATAAAAATCCCATTTCCTCTATCTCTTGACACCTTGCTTAAATCCAAAGACTATCACATTCATTACACACAAATCTCAAAAAATGAGATGAAGCAATCACAATCTCTCTCTCTCTCTCTCTCTCTCTCTCTCTCTCATATTCTTGAAATGTCAATTGGCATGGGAGTTGTGTATCTAATTATACTATCTCTGTTTCTTGGATCAACCAATATTGTGAAAGCTGCTGCTGCTCTACCGTGTGATGACGACAGATGCAAAACTGGATCATGCAACAGCACTGGCTACTGTATTGCAATCTTCCAGACCCTTCCACCATTTTAGATGGTGATCGACCTTTCCAAGGGTAAATCTAACTTGCCTGATTCATTCAAACTCATATATATATATATATATATATATGGTTTTCAATGGAAGTTTTCATACAACACTTAAATCATTCTTGTGCTAGACACCATTATAAGAAAATATTGAAATTCTTTAGCAAGATTTAAAAAAATAAATAAATAAATGGAAGAAGAAGAAAAAGAAACAAGTAATGCTACGAACACAATTTTTTCATAGAAAAATGTAAAACATGTAGTATTGCCAGCATTACGTTTATTCTAGTATAATTTCATCTAGAATGAATGCAGTGCTGCCAACACTATATTTTGTGCAATTTTTGGAACTATTTCTCAATTTATAACCATATGATTTTCAATGGAAGTTTTCATACCAACTTGAATCATTAATGTACCAAACACCAATATAAGAAAATCTTGAAATTCTTGAACAAGCACTTTTTTGGTATGATATATAAGTAATAATGTTATAAACATAAATTTGTCATACAAAAGTATATTGAAAAAATGCGGCCTATATCACATTCATTCTAATAGAGTGTGACTCCTTTCAAAATAAATGTCATACTATCAGTATTAATATTGCATTTATTTTGATAGAATGTGACTCTATCCAAAATAAATGTAGTGTTGTCAGTACTGTATTTTATTAGTTTTTTTTTTAAAGAAAGAATTTTGTCTCTATACTTGATGCTCATTGTTTTTTAGTTGATTAGATTCATGGAATTGAAACATCATGGAACTTCTTGTGTTCTATTGTTTTGATTAACAGGGGGAGGTTTTGTGATGAGGAAATGACAATGTGTGATGGGACTAACTCATTTTGGTGTGGAAATGGAGGGACTTGCGAGGAGATAGTGCAAGGTGAGAGTTATAAATGCCAGTGCCAAACAGGGCATAGTGGAGAGCACTGTGAGCTTGCAGGGGCACCATGTGGTGACATTTTCTGTTTCCATGGAGGTGCATGTTTGGTTGAGAATGATGTCTGTGACTGTCCCACTGATTAGAAAGGAAGCATTAATTGCTCTCTCCCAACCACAACCCAAACAGGTCCTTGTTTCTTTGCCTTCTCTATCATTTGTTGCGAATTTAATTTTTTTTAAGTTGTGTTTGAATTTTAAATTTTGAAAAGATTTGAGAAGAGAATAGAAAAGAGAAAAGAAATTTAAAACTTATATTTAATTGGCATTTCACTTTTTTATTTTTTCACTACACAACAATTTTCAAGATTCTTGTGTTTTGAGATTTTTACGAAATTATTCAAAAGATTAAGGACTAAAAAATACTACTGATATAAAATAAATCACATAATGATATACAGATACTCAAATGTTTATGTATAGCGACCCCGGTCTTTTCCCTCTAGATTATTGTATCCGGACTTAGGTTCCGTGGATCCTGTCATTATATTTTGGTTGTTGTCGTCCTTTAATCTCTTTGTATTTGAGTTATAGGATGTGTTGGGCAGGTCTGTTACAGGTCGGTTGAGTTTAGATGCCAAAACTAGTTGCCCGGATTTTAACCTGTCCGCTCGAGCGGGAGTTTGACGCTCGAGCGGGGATTCTTTTGTTGCTTGTCCGCTCGAGCGGGGGTTTTGGTGCTCGAGCGGGATTATCACCCATCCAGTATTTCCTGTGCAGTGTTGGACGCTCGAGCGTGGGATTGGACCCTCAAGCGGAAATGTGTGAGTTCTGCTCGAGCGGGGAGTTGGTCGCTCGAGCGGGGACCTGGTTCTGCAAAAGTACTGGGAGTGCGTATTCGACGCTCGAGCGGGAGTTTGGACGCTCGAGCGGGGAGTCGACTACATCAGTCCGAGATTTCACTTTTTGGATCACTTTTTGACCTACTTTTCTTTCTTAACTTTTAAAAACCGCCCCTTGAGAGTCTCTCTCTCTCTCTCTCTCTCTCTCTCTCTAAACCTGTCTTCTCTCTAAGAATTGATCTACCTAGGGTGAGTATCTAACCTTAGTCCTTTATTAAAAAGATAGAGTGAGTCAAGGGCTTCCATTTAATTTGAACGTTTGGTGGTTTGGAGCACTTTGGAATTTGGGTCTTCATCTTCGTCTTCTCCATTCAGGTTATTTTCTTCGAGGTAGGGATTTCCTACTCCATCTTATAAGTTTTGTTCTAAGTTTTGGTATTTTGATATGTTGGGAGTACTTTGGTAATTTTGGAAAAAACCCTAGTTGTATTAATAAATTAATTTGTATAATTAATTAATTTGTATAATTAATTTAAGGAAATTGGGGAATTTGGTTAAATTCATGAAATTGAGGAATTCATTGATTAAATGGTGTAGTTGGAAAATTTAAATCACTCGCCTATTGAATTGTTGATATATTTATTTCCAGTCTAGAAATAACGGTTTTGGGCTATCGGTGGAGGATAGTCGTGTTTGTTGTAGACATTGCATGTGGATTAGGGAAAATTGAAACTTATCAATTTGTTAAGTCATAAATTTAGACTATTGAATTAATACAGAAAATACATGTATTGATTGAGCATTGCATATGCATATTGTTTGGGAGGAGATAGGGGATGTACTTATAGCGATCCCGGTTTCCCTTTTCTTTACTTGTTATATACAGACTTGGGTTCCGTGGAGCTGGTTGTTGAGAGTATGTTGTTTGCTTCCTTTAATCCTTATTTTGAGTCTTGGGTTGTGTTGGGAAGATTTGGAGCAGGCTGGTTGAGCTTAGGAACCAAGTCTAGTTGCCCAGATTTTGGCTTGTCCGCTCGAGCGGGGGTTTGGACGCTCGAGCGGGGAATACACCCATCCAGTATGTCCTGTGTATTGTTGGCCGCTCGAGCGGGGGATTGGACGCTCTAGCGGGAAGTCGTGAGTGACGCTCGAGCGGGGACCTGTCTGCAAAAACTTCTGGGAGGGTGCATTCGCCGCTCGAGCGGGAGTTTGGCCGCTCGAGCGGGAGTCTGTGAGTGGCGCTCGAGCGGGGGTTTCCACGCTTGAGCGGGCGACTGGTATAAAAATCCGAGATCCGACTTTCTGGATGATTTTTCATCTCCTTTTTTATTTTAAAACCCTAGAACCGTCTTCTCCCTCTCCCTACACACCTTCTCTCTTAGGTTTGATCTACTTAGAGTGTATTTCTACCCTAAGTCCTTTGTTAAAAAGATAGAGTGGGTCGAGGGCTTCCGTTTAATCTGAACAATCTTGGGTTTGGAGCACTTGGTTTTCGTCATCTTCTCCATTCGAGTTCTTTTCTTCAAGGTAGGGATTTCCTACTCCATTTTATAAGTCTTGTTCTAAGTTTTGGTATATTGATATGTTGGGTTTACTTTGATAATTCTGAGAAAACCCTAGTGGCATTAAATAATTAATTTGTATAATTAATTTAAGGGAATTGAGGAATTTGGTTAAATTCGTGAAATTGGGAAATTGTTGATTAAATGGTGTAGTTGGTTAACTTATTGAATTGTTGTTATATTTATTTCCAAGTCTAGAAATATCTGTTTTGGGCTATCGGTAGAGGATAGTCGTGATTGTTGTAGACATTGCATGTGGATTAGGGATAACTGAAACTAATCACATTGGTTGAGCCATTAATATTGACTGATGAATTAATACAGACATTATGTGTATTGATTGTGTGGTGTATATGTTATGTATTTACATACATTATTTTGTGTGTGGGAGGAGATAGGGGATGTACTCCACGGTTTAGGGGAAGATAGGGGATGGATCTCTAAACCAGATTTTTGTTTGGGAGGAGATAGGGGATGGACTCCATTAGCATCACTTTATGTGTGCTTATTTATATTGAAGTGTTTTTATTGATACAGCACTAAAATGTGTATCAAACTGGAAGTATGAAGTGTTTTGATTTGAGCCTGAGTCTCATTTGTTTGTTGACATTGGAAGAATGTGAATTTGATATACATATACATATAGTTCACTGTTGTAAGTTTGGCTAGGTTCTGAGCCACATTGATAATGTTGGAAAGTAAAACGTGTCTTAAACATTAATGTCATGAAACTGTACGATGATGTAATTGATTATCTTGGTTAACCATCTATTGAATGCTATTACTTTATTCAATGTTTATATTTGGTATAGTATTTTTCTACTGGGCTGTGGCTCACCCTTTATGGGAACATCATTTTCAGGTTCAGGTGATAAGCTACCTCCAAGGACTTAGCTTGGGAGGATTTGGCTTTTGTATTTGAAGAAGACTATCTTTAGTTATTTGTTTTTATTTGATAAATGTTTAAGCCTAGGGCTTTATTTGTATTTGAGTTAGAACTCATATTTCTGTGTCCAAGTGTTGGCTTGGAAGGATGTAAGCCCATAGGGCATTTAAATTTGAGGTTTTATGTAATGTTTTTATTTAGTAATACTCTGATGAATGAATTAATAAATTGTTTTCTTTAAGTAATGCATGTTGATGATATACATATAATGGGTTTATTTTGAGGGCGTGACAGTACTCCACGGTTTAGGGGAAGATAGGGGATGGACCTCTAAACCAGATTTTGTTTGGGAGGAGATAGGGGATGGACTCCATTAGCATCACTATTATGTGTGCTTATTATATTGAAGTGTTTTTACATGTTATTGATATAGCACTACAATGTGTATCAAACGGGAAGTATGAAGTGTTTTGATATATGCCTGAGTCTCATCTGTGTTGCTGACATTGGAAGTAATGTGATATTGGAAGTAATGTGAATATGATATATAGTTCACTGTTGTAAGTTTGGCCAGGTTCTGAGCCATATTCATAATAATGGGAATTGAAACATGTCATAGACATTAGTGTCATGAGACTGTATTAAGTTATAATTGATTATCTTGGTTAACAATCTATTGGATGCTATAGCTTTATTCAATGCTTATATTTGGTTTTGTATTTTTCTACTGGGCTGTGGCTCACCCTTTACGGGAACATCATTTTCAGGTTCAGGTGATAAGTTACCTCCAAGGACTTAGCTTGGGAGGATTTGGCTTTTGGAGTTTGAAGACTATCTTTAGTTAATTGTTTTTATTTGTGAGTACATGTAAACATTCAAGCCAAGGGCTTTACTTGTATTTGAGTTAGAACTCATATTTTTGTGTCCAAGTGTTGGCTTGGAATGATGTTAGCCCGTAGGGCATTGAATTTGATGTTACATGGAATGCTTTTATTTAGTAATACTCTGATGAATGAATTAATGAATTGTTTTCTTTAAATATTGCATGTCAATGATATTTATATAATGGGTTTATTTTGAGGGCGTGACATTATGGATCTCACACAAAATGGGAGCCACAAACATGCGAGTGTCTATCCATCATGCATTAGTAACGTTTTTAAAATTAGAACGAAAATGTATGTTATTATTATATATTAAAATGTTATGATTTGTTTTTCATGGACATTAATTACAAACCATTGCAGATTCTGCAACAAATTCAATTGGGTTGCACCAAGAAGAAAGCAACAGTGATGTAAATGTAAGTATATATGAGGCATACATAAACATACCATGAATTTGCAAGAAATAAAAGGATTTGTGCAAAGATTTGTAAATGAAAAGAAAAAAAAAAATCTTCAGAAAAAAAAAAAGAAAAAAAAAGGGATTTGTGAATGAAATAGAGGATGAATTTTTTCACAAAAATCTCTTCCTTATTATTTTCTCTCAACAAATTGCTTCACAAATTCAAAATCCAAAAATAGTCCAAAATGCACAAAGACCCCAAAGAGATAACTAAAGCATGCACAAAAGATTTGCCATGACTGCCAAAAAAACTTCAATATTGTCGAAATTTTAAAATTGACAATAATATTTTTTAATTAATTTATTTATTTATTGTCAGACTCTTCCATCATACCTTTGATTTCAACACACTCACGCACATCTTCTGTGTGTGTGTGTGTGTGGCTAACGAGAAAGCAGAGGAAAATACAAAAGAAAGGAAAATACAAAAGAAAGGAAAATTGAAAACCCCAACCCATAAAACACCATAAGATCTGCAAAAATCTGCAAACCGTATAACTCAATAAGCATTCAAGATCCAATAAAATCTACACACACCATAATAACTCAAAAATAAAATCTGCACACACTAAAATCTGCACACACCATAATAAAATCTGCACACAATAAAATCTGCACACACGGGTAATCCAAATCCAAACCGTATAACTCAAACCATATAACTCAAAAACACAAAAACAGAGCAAGGAAGACAGATGGCAGACACAGGGTATGGGGGAGACAAAGAGTAGATATTGATATAAACACAGACAAATCATCCATATGGCGGGAACACCCATTGATCTAAACCATCCATAAAAATTAATATCAGATATTCATTCTTCAGTTCTGAAATCAAAGTGGCACAGCTATTGGATATAGATTTTAATTTTCATTGAGAACCAAACTTAATATCAGATATTCAATAAGGGTTAGGGTTTTCAAATCAAAAGCCCTAATGTAAATGAAGTTTAGAGTTAGAAACAAACCTGAGAGAGTGGTGGTCCCGACGCCAACGGGGCTGGTCGTCTTCGGCAATGGCTAAAGCTCCAGCTATGGTGGAAGAGAGGAGGGAGGAGAAGAGAAGAGCAAGAGCAAGAGCACGACCCAGAGAGGGAGGCCAACTGGCTTCGGGACTGTTGGACTACTCTGACTTTGCTCTGTTTGGTAACCGGGTACACCGGTTGCCTAATTTAAGAGAAAAATTATTTAATAACTTAGTTATGACCTGGTTATGAAGTAATATGGTAGAGGTAAATAATTGAATATAACTAAGTTATGAGTTAATATGGTGATAGTTATGACTAATATGGTATAGGTTATGATATAAAATCATATAAGTTCATAACTAAATGTATGGTACACCAAAATGTACCATAGCATCACCCAAGCACCTCTATCTTGCAAAACTATCGGATTGAAAGGGAGTCTTACGTTAGGTATCCAAATAAACTGGTCACTCTGTCCATTGGCTTGACTATCATTGCCACATTGTAAAGGGGCTTTCCTCATGCACCCTCCCGACACGTCTCCTGCAATCCAATTTCGTACAGAAGGGGGTTCAAAACCCGGCAAACATTGGCAAAATGGAAGGGCCTTTTGACTGCAAATGCTAAAAGCCCCACAGTAGGCATAAACCTTGCACTGCTGACTCGGTTGAGACCAAATTAAACCCCATTTACGAGTAGTTTCAGACCATGACAGCAGCTGAAGTTTCCCTGATACATCCAACACAAATATACTCGTCATGGAAGCATCGGTAACAGGGTAAGTGAAATTGCTCTACCACGGGCTAAAAACATAGGTGATGTGTGTATTGGGAGCTCTCATATCAGGGATCATTTGGAAACTTTGTCTAGTTCATACCCCACTAGTCCAATACTTTTGAGATCCCTTCATGATGAAGAACTGGGGCGTGCCTTGAGGATCAAATTACAGAGAGAAAACTCCAGGGCCAGGGTCTTCCCTGCTTTTCCAGGATATCAAAGACCAGGTTTTTCTATTGATCACACTATAACCAAGCTTCATTCCAGGCAAGAGAGTATGTGAAGGGTAGTCAAAGCTTTGCCATAATAACTCACCAGATGTCCTGTCTCTCAAAACAAGATTTCTTGAATCCAAAAGGGTAGCACTAGTGTTACCATTTGATGATATGTTAGTCAACATGTAAAAAATTTTTCCCTTTAGTATCGCGAGGTTTCCATCATCACTGATGCTAAAAGCCGCAGAAGAATCAGTGAGTGGGTAATTTCGGTTGGCTACCCAAGCAACAGTTTGTACCGAAATTCTTTTGTACCATTGTTAGTAAAAATTATGCCGGGATTAGAAGAGAGAGAGAGAATTACAGAGAGTGTTGTAATTCTTACCATTTTGTTCAATATAGTGAATCCGCTGCCCGTGGACGTAGGCGACTTGCCGAACCACGTTAAATCTTGTGTGTTATTGCTTGTTTGAGTTCCCTGGTGTGCCCCCGATCCACAACAATATAAAGTCAATAGCATATGCTTGTTAGCTCATTCATATACAATGGTGGATGTATTTCCTAACAGATTAAAATTTTTGGGACAATTTTTAAAAGGATTAAGTTTCCGTCAGTACAAGCCAACATCAGAATTAAAAAATGTGGAATAACATAATTAATATAATTCCAGATATGTTCTGCCTTATAAATCCACAAACCCACCTAGGAATCTCCTTCACTTTTCTTTAGAATAGCATATTTTGTATTGCTGGACGGTCATTGAATACATATATTCATCCTGACAGGCAATGTTTTGCATATATTTCAAAGGCCTAATGAATCAACCATGATTTATTCATAATTGCCAATTTGGGAAGCAAAGCATACATTATATAATCAACATTGAGAGCAGAAGCAGCACATATATATTCTCAAAATTTTGGGATATGAATATAGAAAACCTTAACCCTCATCAGAAACTGAGAAAACATGGGCAAAATTTCTAACCAAAACATAAAAGAAAACCAAAGGAAATAGGTAAATAAGTCCAGTCAACTAAGTCTGCTGCAAACAATTTCTAATAATTAGGTGATTTCTGTTCCTCCATTTAAACAAATCAGATAGGAGTTTTTGTATTCCTTTTTTTTTTTTTTAGCATCATCAGTATTCTAATCAACCAAAAAGAGTATGAGCACAGATTATACATCCAAATTCCAACTGAAATAAAAGCATTATAAAATAATTAAAAATCCTTGGTTGCAAGGGAATTTTCATCAGATACTAGAATTTTTCTTTTTTTTATTGGCCAAACACAATCTGTCTAGTTTGGAATTTTCTAAAACCGAATTTTCAATCCATATGTTTTTTATTTTTAGTAAATTTTTTTAACATTTTAATCAATTATTTTTTATTTTTTAAATCCACTTAATGTAGATATAGTTAAATATATATATATATATATATATATAATATTTATGCAAAAATCTTTAAAAAAAAATTCATTACAATACAACAAAATATGAAAATGTACACACACACACACACACACACACACACACACAAAAAT